CAGAGAATAGTAAGCGTAAAAGAAAATATTATCCAAAATTTGATCCCCTGAAAACTTCGACAAGTACAGATATTTCGAATTCAAACCGGAAACGTGTTTTTTTTTAATTCAAATTCAGTTTTTGATGATATATTAATTTTAGCAGTGTAATGGTGAAGTGCAAATTGTGTTCCGAGTGTTTGATAGCTATGAGCCAAACTTCGATCTGAAAATGTATATCAAATCAAATCTGATAAGGTTTCAATTTTCATTATTTGCCACCGAAATATTCATTGCAGCAGTGTAGTTTTTATGGTGCAAACTGTTTTCTGGATGATGGATTTAATATAAGCCTACTGCAAGCTTAAAATGGATTCTCATCAAGGGAATGATGCCTCCAAAATCTTTTTGTGAATTGAAATAATGTGCATCACGCATGGATTTAAATGTGTTAAATCGAACAGGTCTGATGCAGACACTGTGTTTTGGATTACCTTATAACTCCAAGTTCTTCTTGTTATTCGCATGTACATTAAATATTATTTGATATATTAATTTGTTTTTGTTTCCCTCTTGTGCACATTCCAAGGTTTACCTGTAACTCTTCGTTCTGTTTGTTTTAACAGTCCATTCTGTTTGTTTTTTAACTGTCCATTCTTATTTAAAAAAGTGTCCATTCTTAAAAGAATGGACAGTTTTTCAAAAAGAATGGATATTTACTTACAGGTGACTTAATAGATTGATAGGGGAGTTAAATCAACACTAAGCTATAGAATGGACAACACAAACAAAAGGTTTACGTCACAATCATGTTTTAATTTAAGAGACTGTATGTCTTGTAGTATCATTTTGGAGTGTCTTAGTAAAACTTAAGAAGTATAAAGGATTTTGAAAGCTAGATAAAACTGTAAGAAGAGCTGCTTTTAAAAGGATTTACGGAATTTTTTATTTTAATAACCATGGCAAAACTTTTTGTCGAAATTTTTAAAAAAGAAATATAGATTGTATACTAGTATATCAGTATATAGAGTGCTGATGCATAGTATTTATGAAATTAAAACAATACTGTGGGAAGCGAAGCGTATTTGTAGTAAGAGTACTGCGTAAGAGTGAAAGTTTTTGAGTTTAAATACCGCTAATCTCAAATGCGATTTTTTAAAGTAAGAACACCATTCAAAGCAAGATGTTCCCAATTGTTATATTCTGTAATCTAATCTAAAAAAAAAAAGACATTTGAATATGTTAATCTTGAAATTTGCCTTTGTTAAATGTTCCATCAAGGTTGCTGGCATAGCTCACTTTCAAATCACGAGGCCCCTGAAATATGCCGTAGTAGGTTTTTACTCCTTTATTATCCTCAGTTGATGTCATTTTCAAAATCATTGATTGAATTTTACTTATCTTTAAAGGTCGCAACGTCTCCATTAACTGAAAAAAATTCAAAGGAACTGATCAAACGAGAAACCTACATGTATATAAAGAGTTGGATATCTGAACATCATGATAGAGAATTTTTTAACTTTACTATGAAAAAATAATTGACGTCAATAATACAGCTTCGCCGTGCAACACCAATTTGAAAATATTGATTTAAATTGGACGGTTAGAAACATCATTGTATTCAAGTATTACTCAATGAAATGTGTAGAGATGACGAATAGCATTCAAGCTTATACAATGTAAGTCCATAAAACAATACAAAATAGGAACAGAGCTAAGACGGTCCTTCAAAACATCGGAGATGGGATTTTAAAAAATTTTTAGTAGACATCTTCCGACCGATAGGCTTAAAAAGAACAAACAAATTTTTATGCAACAGTACTGCGTCCGTCAGTTTGTCTGTAAGCAATTTTTCAAAATGCTAGTCCTCCTACAGTTTTGGTCTAATTTCAATATAAATTGATATATAAGTAGACAACATTAGAGAGACGTAATTCTGTGTATCGGTTATTGAATTCGATAAATGGTGTTGCCGTGGTTACTAAAATAGATTTTTCTGGGAAATGCATTCAAAACGCTTCTCATCCTACAGTTGTGGTTTTATTTCAATAGAACTTGACACACATGTAAACTGCACTTAGATACGTGATGCAATTTATCGGTTTTTTATTTGGATGAACGGGATTGCAATGGTTACTAAAGATATAGAAATTTCTTCGGAAAACTTTTCAAACACTTCTTCTACAGTTTTGTTCTGATTTCAATATTACTAAAATAAGTAGACTACACTAAGATAAACATTATGTGTATCATAATTTGATTTCGATGAACGGTGTTGCCGTGGTAATTAAAGTCATTTCTGTAAAATACATTCAAATCGTTACTCCTCCTACAGTTTTGGTCTGATAACAATAGAACTTGGCACACAAGTAGATTACACTAAGATATATAATTCTGTATTTCGGTTTTTGATTTCCATGAATGATGTTGCCGTGGTTACTAAAGATAGATATATTTTTAGGAAAACTTTCCAAACCCTACTCCTTCTACAGTTTTAGTCTGCTCTTATATAACTTGGCATATAATTAAACTACACTTAGATATATACTTCTATATATCGGTTTTTGATTTCGATGAATGATGTTGCCGTGGCCAATAAAATAGATATTTCTGGAAAATGCATTCAAAACGCTACTCCTCCTACAGTTATAGTTCAATTTCAATATAACTTGGCACAAAAGCTTAAGTTTACTACACTCAGTTACATAATTGTGTTTATCGGTTTTTGATTTTGCTGAATGGTGTTGCCGTGGTTACTAAAAATAGGAATTTCTGTGAAATACCTTCAAAATGCTACTCCAAATACAGATTTAGTCTAATTATAGTATAATCTAGCATGCATGTAAACTACACTGAGATACATTTTTACCATTTTTTTTTATATTTTGATGATTGAAATTCCAATAGTAATTAAATTGAAAATTAAGTAAAGTTTTATTTTAAAAATTCTTACAGTTGTTGTCTTATCACAATCTTGCCACAAAAGGAGATTTTTTTTCAATGATCTTGATTCTATCTGTTGCTTTTGTAAAGTTTTAAGTCCCAACTGCATGCTATTTTTCTCTACTTTTATTATAAGTACAAACTAGTAGAGCTACAGTCTCGACAGAGACTTCTGATTTTAAAACGCAAGGAAGCAAATATATTATAATACAATCTGGAAAATTATTGTTAAAATTCAGAATTGAAATAACGAAATTCTCACCTGCCTACCAATTTTTTTTTCAACTAGAATCGACATTTTTTAAAATCTTGTCTTTCATTTATAATAATGTAATATGTGAATTCAAAATAACATTTTCATTTTTTTTCTCTTCTAACAATGGACTCCCTCCTTTCCCTCCAAAATCAGAGGTGTTTTAATATCCAGAGAAATACTAAATAAAGTATTTTATAACGAGAACACAACTACTCCTTAACATTGCACAAAGAATAGTTTTGTTCAAAAGAAACGTAACTTTAGAAAGAAAAAAAAATGAGTATGGACGTCCTGCAGACAGGCACAAATATTTCTATACATTATGTCCTATATACCAAATTTGAACGAATATAACAAAGCTTGGTGAAATTTTGCTCTTCACTGACCTGCTAAATTGTGTGTAGTATTTTGAAAGTATTTTTGTGTTATTTTTGTGTTTAATATATGCCGCAAATTCTTATATACTGCATCTTTGCCATTTTTGCGTCCGTTTTTATACATTTTATACCCATACCGATTTTAAAAATCCGTTTAAATCTTTTCAGTATTTAGCAAGAATAGACTTTATAAAAATAAAATACTGTAAATATATTATATTTGGCGTGTACGATATTTCGCGGAAATTCAATTTTCAACAAGGTAGCATAAATTTGATTTAGCGCTGTCCGAATTTGCTAGTTATAAAAGATAATATACAAGACATTTAGCGACGTACTTAAATTACCGGACTCTGCTTTCCACCAAAATCGCTAAATAGAATACACCGCTAAATGTAAAACGTTCCCAGTATTACGTGTTTCAAAATATATTCTCATTGTATTTCTTTTCGAAAATGAAAGGAAAATGTGGAATTAATTTTTAAATAAACAGTCTTTATTTGCTTTGGGTATAAAAAAATGAAACAACAAATCGTTTTAATTTTTAATTAACAGATTAGACAGCGTAAAAGTAAAAGAAAATTGAAGAAACTCTAACTTTCAGCCCCTAAGTTCAACAGTAAGAGAATCCTTGTTACTTAACCATACAATTAAGCTTGTAAGTATCCTCATCTTGTTCCGAATTATCTCTGTCGCTATAGAGGTAACGAAATCAAAGTTACGTCTGGTATGAATTGGCGGCTATATAAGTATTTACTACATGTAGAAAGTTTATATATAAAGAACCGCTTATTTCATAACAATTTAATATTAATTGATTATCGGAAGGTTAAATGTCACTTGTAGATCGTTGGTCCTGTGTCCTTTGTATTTAATGTAACTTTAATATATATCTAAAATGTCACTTCATGTGGTGGAAAAAATTACCCTTCAAAGAACTAAACTACAAAACGTCATTATCTCTAAACAATTTATACAAATATGGACTTAATGTAGGTCAATATGGACTTTTGAGCTCAATTTCTATTCGTTAACCCCTTCACTTTCGTACCGGTGGCGCGTTAAAACACGACTTCGCGAAAATAAGATCTCCGTATCTATTTTGTGGTAGCATGAAGGTATAAAAGCTATATATCATCTTTTTGGAAATTTTCTCTACTTTTAAAATATCTAAAAAGATTATATCTTGATTGCCGGTATTTAATCGATTTTACGTTGTAAAGACAAACGTGACTTTTTGAAAATGGCATAATTTTCCAAAGCGATTTGCCGATTTTCCAGACGATTGACAATTTTTTCCTGTTTAACTTTATAAAGAAATCATGGTATATTCTTAAAGCATATTTTCTCTACTTTTAAAATATGTAAAAATTATTGTTATTACTTTAAGGTATATTTTAAAAACAAGAATTTTCTTGCACAAATGTGTTTTTTTCTCGGTTTTATTCGTAATGTTTAAACAAAGCTCAGTTTTACGTTTATTTCTGTGTTGAAATAGGGAAAACAAAATAAAGCTGGTAAAAGTAGAGAAAATTTCCTTTCCAACAAGCCCTTACAGGCCTTCTTACGCTCAGTATTTTCTTAATTACGATAATTTGAATTTGTGACCTTCGCATAGTTTTTATGGAAAAAGCTGTCAATATTTACATGTAACGTCAAGGTCGATATTGTTGCGTCTTACTCGAAACAACAAATTCTTTTATAAGTCTTTTTTGACCATTTAAATGTATTTTTTACTGAAATAAATGCATAATACAAAAAAGAATAGATTTCAAAAAACAAATATATACTATCGTTCTGCCTTTGATGAATCGAAGTGAATGTTCATTTATTCATCTATATGTAATGATATATATTTCATGTAGTGATATACAATGTTGAGAAAAAATTGTAGATTCCCAAAACGTCGATCTTTACTAAAAAAAAATCAATCAGATTTTTAATACTGTTGTTTCTTGTTATCTTGTTATACTTATCAATTTGCAATTTAATTAGATCTATATTGGCACGAAATTTAACAATACAAAAACTCGCATTTATAAATAAATACGACTCATCACTGTATGAGTTGATACGAATTGAAATAACCACGTGTTTCCGCTGTGGTGTAAACAACAACATGATCCGAAATCTGAAAGTCAATTTTCATGATTATTTCACGACGAAGATCATCACATCAATGAATCAAATATTACGGACATGCTTTTGATATTAGCAGGTGAGAATACGTGTATATATTGACTGAAAAAAAACGCATTAGTTCACGTTCAAAAGAAAACTAAATGTACACATGTACTAGGTCTAGATCTTTATGTTTCAGTGTGCGTATTTCGTATCGTTCAGCCAATTTTGTATTGCTTTTGAGCTTTGATGCTTTTGACAATCACTCGTAAGTTCAAAGTAAAACCAAAGTTGTCATGATAATGGATAGTTGTTTTCAGTATGTGTGTACCAGTGTGTACATGTACCACTTTCACATTGAATTTTTAGGGTGCTTTCACCATATGCAACAATACTTTCATCTGTGAATACCCACTTTCTAAGCCCACCATGAACTACGAAGGTCAAATTAATATGTAAGGACACCAAAGAACAGGTAAATTTTGTTTTGGCATTGAAAATTTCTGTTTTTCTAAAATTTCAAAAAATAAAGTCTAATTTCATTTATGTCATTCTCATGATATTGCATTCATACAAGTTTATAAACATTTGATTTATATTTTGAAAAATAAGTGTTTGAAACACATAATACTTATGATGCTTGATTATTCATACAGACACATTGTTTAAACATGTAATATCTACGAATGCCGAGATATGGAACAAGCTGTTTTTATAGACTGCTGTTGTATTTCCAATCTGCATAATGTATGTGGTTAGAATTTCCATTTTCTCAATTTTTCAGACACTTTCCAATTATCGTACATCATAGACATGGGTGGTCAAACTCACTGGATGGTTTATCAACACTCCCATGCTCACGAACAGCCTTGCCCCAGGAATTTTGCCCTGAAGTAACATTGCAGTCTATTGTCTCCTTTCTTTTTACAACCCTGGCAGCCATGCAGGTATGCAATCTATGAAAGCCATGAAGAGACATAGAATTTAAAAAAATTATAAAAGTAAACCAATTAAGTTCTTGATTTATACAATCCGTTCTCGTTCTGTTATAACAAATTGCCAATTCATTCTCACAGATTATCAATTCGTTCCCTCAAATTACACAATCCGTTATCTCAGATTGTATAATTCATTTTCTTAGTTTAAATGATTCATTTACTCGGAATGTAAACCCTTCCCATGATTTCATTTAAATTATTTATCTGTACATATCGGATATGGTAATACATGTTTAAAAAATAGAATATTGTAGTATTTTACATCCTAACTTTTATTACATATTACAGTCCAAAATGAGAAAAATACATGAACATTGTCCATCCATGTTCTAGTACTGATATTTGTACAACAAAAAATCTTAGAGGTTTTTGTGTTACATATAATTGAAAGTCCTAGATAGTAAAAGTGAATATGGGTCCTGTGTAATCATAATATTTCTAAAATAAATATACGTTGAATTACATTTGTAGTTATGAAAGAGGTTGGAAACGACCGGTTGCTAAAACAAAATAAATAGAACGCACTTATTGATTAAAATGGTTGGATGTATCTGTACATATATGTAATGAAATTCAAGAGCACAGATTGCCTAAATCATAAGACTGACGTTGTAACAAATTGAGATCTCGAATTATCAATCTGTGAAAACAAATTACCGGTATGTAATTCGAGATCTCAAATTATGAATCAAGGGGGCGAATTAGTAATCCTTAAGTTCGGATTGTGTAATTCGATATCTCATATTATAAATTGAGAGAACGATTTAGTAATCCTTGGGATTGGGTTGCCTAATTCGATTCGATATCATTTTTACTTTTTTGAAAAATTTACGTGTCCCTTCATGGCTTTCGTAGCAATCTAATGCCCTTTTTTTATATGTTGCGACAGAGCATAAACAGAGGTCTGGCTTTAGTCAGATTGCCATATATGCTATTTGTTTTAGTTCAGTAATTTTACCATGATGGTTTACTACAAGGTTGTTGAATTATCAGTCCTGATACATTGACTTCATATCATTTAACTAACTGGATCACATAATAAATCAATTTTGATTTTAAAAGGAAAATCAAATAAATGTAGTAATTTAAGCATTCTTAATTCTATTTATAAATGTAAATTTATATACACAATGACGTGTATCTGTTTCAAAATACTTAAATCTTTTACAGGATAGAAGCTGATCACTTGTACTTGACAGCAAATAACAATGTCTTGGACAAGTCAAAGAATTTCCTCCAGTCTTACAGAGAAATGACAGTTGATAAAAGAATGGTGGACACAAAGTAAAAGTGCTCTTCAACATTTTGTTGAAGGATTCAGTCTGATTTGGAATTCATCTTGCAATATTTCTGGATTTGTATATTTGGATATAAGCATCAAATTTTCAACTTATTGACTAAACAGTTTTGGGCTAAATATTGCCAATGCTATTTATTATTATTATTATTTCCCTCCAAGATAACATGTCAAGTCTTTATTGTACCCCTTAAGCTCTGTTATACCAGAAAAATCTTATAATGAAATCATTTATTTTTTTTTCTTGTTAGATTAAATCCATGAAAATAAAGATTATTTTTAATGGCATCAAAAGAATGGATTTCTTGTTTAACAAAAAGATTGTATACATGTTTTGCTAGGGGTTTGTAAGAAGCAGACCAGAATTCTTTGCTTGCAAATTTTGTCGTTCGCCATTTTTATTACGTCAACTATTAGATGATTTATCCATGTATGAAGCATTTCAAAATTGATATTTACTTACAGATTAAAACAGAATTCTGTACTGATATGACCTTGACCCCCTGAAGAACAAGAGTATCAAGGTCAATTTTTAATACAAAAATGTTCTTCATCTTTATGGCCCATATATATCTTACAAACAATATCATGAAATATACAAAAAGTGTCTAGAATGTGTCCAGAATGTGAAATAACAAAACCTTTAAAAGGTTGTTGCTTAGCAACCACTTAAAGGTCATTAAACAGATATTTGAACTAAAATGATGCATGGATATTGCAGTTCTGATCCCTTCTTGAGAGTATATTCAGAATTTTTCATTTCAGCATCCATTGTGTAAGATAATGGCAAGAATATTGAAAAGTGTTGAAAGAAATTGATGAAACTTTTGCACTTATTTGACCTTTGACCTCCTAAAAAATTCTAATAAGGTCAAACTTTAAGACAATTTATCTGTTGTATGTCCCTTGTAATTTTATGACCTTACATCTAACTTTTATATGTGCTGGGATGCATAAATGTGTCTAGGATGAGTAAAAAATGAAAATGTCTGCCCGAAAATTAAAGAATTCTGCGTTGCTTAGCAACCCCTTTTAAGAAGTTATATGCAGAATTCAAAACAAAAGTTTATGTGTTTCATGTTGTACAGTATAATGCTCTTTTGTGGGTATATACCAAATTTCCTATTTCAACATACACCATACTTAATATTTAGCTTAAAGATTAAAAAGTATGAAAAAATTCCATAAAATTTTGCACTTAATTGACATTTGACCTCAATTTTTACTAGTAAGGTCAGTGGTTGAGTATCTAAATAGTCATAAAATATCATCTCTAAGACATTTCCTACAAAATGGTATGCATTATGCCTAGCTTTCTCCTTGGATAAAAACGTTAGAAATAATTTAATAATGCCATGTCAAAAGACCTCCAAAATCACGTAAAATGCCCGGAAGAGAAAGGGTTAAGACACTAATGGTAATCTAACAACCAAGCTATATGATAAACACGAGGACTTTAACTTTTCTATCGTCAAATTCCCTTACTTATGCAGCAATATACCTTTATCACCTGCATACGGAGTATATATATCTCAGTTGATTCGATACGCAAGAGCGTGCTCTACGTATTAACAATTTCTTAAACGAGGTAAATTATTGACAAGCAAGTTGATGAAACAAGAATATCAACAGTCTCGTTTAAAGTCATCATTTCGTAAATTCTATGGTCGATAGAATGACCTTGTCAGCAAAAACAATTTATCATTGAGTCAAATGCTGACTGACGTTTTTCATACCAATTATTAGTCCATTATTTATACACTAAATTGACGACGGATTTTTTCCGTTATTTCCTGATCATGACAACGAGCACACAGCGGGTGTGATCGGTCGGCAGGGGATGCGCACTCCTCCATTCCACCTGATCCCACCTCTAATGTTTCGGAGGTCCGTGTTTGCTCTGCTCTTATTTTGTATATTGTTTAATGGACGTTGAGATTGAATACTGTTCGTTATCTCAATATCCTTCTTCCGTATCATTCCGTATCATTTTGCTGATATTTCAGAATGTGTTTTATTGAAAAAACGACAGCTTTAAGTGATTTGTTAATTATTAAATCACATTTGAGATGTAGGAAAAATATATACCTGATGAAACTATGATTGCAATACTCTTTCGTATTTAATATTTTCTCTAGGATACCTTGAATATGCTTCGTAAGATATTTGTCTTGGTCAATATAACTAATTTTTTTTTCTTATGAACTCTTAAAAATTCCTTTGCATGAACAGAGATTGTTACCTGAAGAAGAAGAAGTGTTCCGATAAGTTCTTTTCATTTCTAGGATTATATATAGGAGGAGTAAAATTTTAAATGTATAATATACCACCAATACACGTATATACCGTGATTAACTTTTCATTCTTATATACGCATCATATAAAGAAACCGTATTTGAATTCTATAGTTGATGTATATATGCAACATTTTGATTGCTTTTCCTATTTGTTGACATGACAACCAACCTAGCAATAATAAAAGGTATCTTATTTCTTTATCCATGCATAATTAACAGAACATTACCTTCCTATATAGATAAAGAGTCAGGATTTTTTTTAATTTTCGGGCATTTTTATAATAATTTGCCAAGGAGACTCAGAAGTTGATTTCTTAAAAAAAATTTATTGCGATTTCGATCAAGTACACATATTTGACAAGAAGCTAAATGCTTAACTTCATTTTCAACACATTTTTTTTTTCGATCGGTAATTATCGGGTCTTATACTAAAATTCTTATCAAAGTAGAAGCTTTTTCCCATAGAAGAAAACAGCAGCTATTCAAAAGTGACTCAGATATTAATTAAAGATATGAATGCAATAGATTTCCATTCTTTTTATATGCAAAACATATGTAATGTGTGAACTTTGTTAATTAATTAAAACGAATAATTAAAGATGTGAATTTTGTTAATTAATTACACGAATTTCAACATGTATATTGATCTCCCTTTTTTTTCTTCATAAAACAAGTATGTCCTGCTCGAGGATTTTGAAAACAAATTATCTCATATAATTATAACATACGTATAGACTGTACATGATTACTGTCTTGACATACACGCAATCTAATTAAAATAAGATGTTTGATCTTCACCTGAACCGTTGGGGGCTCTTGAATCTTGATTTGGAATGTTTCCCCTCTGGTCGCCATATAGGTTTCCTAGGTAGCATTCATCCTCCTCTTCCTCCTCTTCTTCTTGTTCTTGTGGCGGTACAGCTGTTGTCACTGTGTGTCTCAGTCTGGTCAGCCACACTGGGATGTCACGGTCAGAACGTTTCTTCAATCTATCATGATGGACTACTTTCTCCTTTCGCCGATTCTTCATGCGATAAAGAACTGGTGACAACTTCTGAGTCACAACAAATGGACCAATCCAATGTTTTTGTAGCTTTTTAGATTGTCCTATTTTTGTTGATGAATCTATCATGTAGACTAAGTCTCCAACATCATATGTGTGGTTGTGAAGCTTCAAATCATAGGTTCGTTTTTGACGCATTTGTGCAGTATGTAGATTTTCTCTGGCAATACCGTGGACCTGAGACATTACTTCCTCTAGCTCCTCCACATAGTCAGATGGTTCCGAGGCTGTTGATTTTCACCCATACCCATCATGATGTCTACAGGTTGTAAAATCTCTCGTCCTAGCATCATTTTGTTGGCGGTGAATCCGGTTTGTCTGTTTACAGTGGCCCTTATAGCACCGGCAATGAGTTGCAGATGCCGATCCCACTGTCGCTGGAAACCCACATTCTTTAAATAGCAACGGATCGACTGTAGGATAGTTTTATTGTACCGCTCTATTTGACCATTTGCACATGGTCTGTATGGAGTTGTGCGCGTTTTTGTGATCTCTAGCATTTTACATAGTCTTTGAAATAAGTCACTCATGAAGTTTCTACCTTGATCCGAATGGATCTGAAGAGGACACCCCATTCTTGCAATGAATCCTTCAACCAATGACAAGGCCACTTGTTCTGCTCCTTGGTTAGGAATGGCATAGCATTCTAGCCACTTCGTAAACTGGTCAATCATCATTACAATGTAGCGATTCCCTCTATCTGATTCTATAAATGGTCCTAGAATATCTATATGTATTCTTTCCATAGGGATCCCTGCTTGGAATTGGCCCAGTGGAGCTTTTGGTTGAATGTGGGTTTTTTTACTTGTACTGCACTCTCTGCAAGACTGAACATATTTTATGCAGTCCTGGGTTACACCATACCAAATGTATTTTGAGCGCAATCTCTGCAAGGTCTTCTGCTGTCCATGGTGACTTGCAAATTTGGAGTCATGGCAGCCTGCCAGCACTGTTTCTCTTAGTTCTTGTGGAACAATAAGTAGAGGTATCTTAGATGTTGTATCATCATCAAACCATATGTAGGAAAGCACTCCATCATTAGTTGCAAGTTGCTCTTTTGAGTTCCACCAGTGTTTTACACCTGGACTAGCAAGAGAAAGCTCTACTTCACTTGGACCACATTCTGTTTTCCAACGGAGAAGATACTTTAGATCCTGATCATTTTCTTGCGCTTCCCTCAGCTCTTTTTGACTAAACCGTTTAGACCAGTTACATCCATCAGTGATCTTATCTGATTCCGAATCCTCTGAGCACCATTCTGTTTGTGCCGTACGGACAGCTAATGGAACAACATCATCGATATCCTCACTAAATCTACTCCATTGTTCATGGACTCTCTGACAGTACTTACATCCACCACAAGGCAACTCACTGATGTCCTTTCCAGCATCATAGCAGTCACATGGAGGATCTGTCGTAGGTATCCTTGAGAGTCCATCTGCATTGCTGTGTGCTTTCCCACTGCGGTGCTGAATAGTCATATTGTACTGCGAGAGTTCTTTCAACCATCTTGCAAGTTGTCCTTCTATATTTTTAAAACCCAGAACCAATGCTAAGCTGTGGTGATCTGTGCGAACAATGAAGGGGCGTCCGAGGAGGTAGAATCTGAATTGTCGTGTGAAGACGACAATGGCAAGTAGTTCATTTCTTGTTACACAGTAACGTCTTTGGGTAGCTGATAAGGTTTTACTTGCATAGCTTATGAGTACCTCTTTTCCTTTCTGTACTTGTGATAATTCTGCACCTAATGAATGATCCGAGGCATCCGTGTCAAGTATGAATAAACCATCCGGCTTAGGGAATGCTAATATGGCTGGCTCTGA